GACTTGCCCAAGGTCATGTGTCTCATAAGGGCAAAGTCAGTACTCAAATCCAAGCCTGACTCTAGGGCCAGGGCTTTTAGTCTCTCCATGATCATGCCCATCAAAGAAAACACCCTCAGTGTCCTTCTACTATTGCCACACTCCCTGGGCTCCCTTTCTCCTAAAATTACAATTAGAATGGGTATGTGGGCAGAATTAGATTAAAGACTGGGGTTAGGGGCCCCTGGGTGACTCAGTTGTTAAGTGTCTGTCTTCGGCTCAGGTCATGGTCCCAGGGTCCTGGGATCGAGCCCCGTATCAGCCTCTCTGCTCGGCAGGGAGCCTGCTTCTTCCTCTTCCTCTGCCTCTCGCCCTGCTTGTGAACTCTCTCTCTCTCTCTGTCAAGTAAATAAATAAAATCTTAAAAAAAACAAAGACTGGGGTTAGCAGCATAAAGGACATAGTAACCCCCTTAGATATCCGTCCTCCACCTTGTGGGATGCACACACGCACACACACATATATACACGCATATATACATATAATCCCATTGTACACACACACACATTTGGATCTTAGTGGAATAATTGTTCTTTGGAAAATGAGCTTTGGTAAGAATTTTCTTGGTGGAGATGTGGGTGGGTGGGTGGGGGGGTGGATGTGTGAGGGCATGTACCTATATATCATGATATACCTTGCATCTGCTTCCTGTCCTCAACTTTTGCTGTCCCTTAAGAGATGGCAAATTTATTTTTGATTCATATTCTGTGATAAAGTTAAGAATGGCAATCAGCAGATCAGTGATTGAGAAGCTGAAGAAAGTTTATAGAGGTGGCAAATCCCTACAAACGGCAAGAAGATAACATAAATATAATGGCAAAATGTAACCGCCAGGGAGTGACAGAGACCTGGGTAGAGTAGAGAGTACTTGTCCAAACCCGAATAGCAGGTACTGGGCTCCAGCAAAAGGTTGCCATGTGGCAATAGGAGCTTGCTTGGTGTGACCAGATCTGACAATTTTTCAAGAGAAACTGGAAATCTAGATTTGGGGTGTAAAATCTCCTAACTTGCAAAAATTTTAAAGTAATTTAATTTTTTTTTTTTTTTTAAGAGCACTGTGCTGGCTCACATTGTGCAGGCCAAACGACAACAAACCCCACATCTGTAGGCCTCTCCCTGGAAGTCTGCTTTGTATGGAGTTAAATGCAGGGAACTCTGAAATGGGAAATTACAAGAAACAACCTACAGAAATTTGGATCTTGGTGGAATATTTGTTCTTTGACAAATGAGCTTTGGTAAGAATTTTCTTGGTGGGGGTGGGTGATTCAGGGTGTGGGATGGAAATGGGCACTAAAACCATAGCCCTTTTGGATCAGATCCTCTTAATTTCTCCTTTGGAGTGGCATTGGTCTTGGGCCTTGGGGGAAAAAAAAATAGCAGGAATCTAATTAACAGCTCAAAGGGAGCAATCAATTTACAATTGTCTGAAGTGCAAATTCCTTTGCGCACAAAACAAATTACAGTATTTGCAAATTTGTAAATAATGCAGCACTTTCTACGATCCAAATGCTTTGGGTGCCCCCGGGGAGAAGGAAAAAGAAGTCTGAGAAGGCAAAATGTTAGAAAATGACCTATTGTCTCAAGAAATGGAATTTAAAAAATATCTTTAGTAATTGATTTTTTTCAATTGAATCCTTATTTAGGAGCTATAAAGGGGCCCAGTTCTTAGGTCAGTACGAGAATATCTAAAGAAGTAAACAATTTCAAGTCCAAAAGTCACAGCATGCTATTAACAGGGTAGCTTCTTTCAAAATTACTAAACAGGAAACGTTGCCCCCAACCTTCCCTACACCCTGAGTTTCTGGCAAAAACTTCCATTTTATAAAGGCAATAGCAAGGCCCAGGCATAATAATCATTATGTTCAATGTCGGAGAAGGAATCGGTGACAGATAAGGACATGAATCCAGCCAATCTGCTCCAAAGCAATGGTTTTGTGAACTGCTCAATTCATAAATATTTATTGGGGCCCTTTTATAAGATGCTATCACTGTTATTCAAGATTCAAAAGACACCCTGGAAGAATGTATGGTGTATTTAGGCAAGTAAGGAGTGAAAACTCATTATTTTTTTTCCAAGACTTTTAAAGCATACTCAACTTCCTGTTGAGCTAGGAATTGAGAATACAAAGTAGGGGTGCCTGGGTGGCTTAGTCGGTTAAGCGTCTGTCTTCAGCTCAGGTCATGATCCTGGGGTCCTGGGATCAGCCCCAGCTGGTTCCCTGCTCTGCTGCTCCCCTCACCCTCAAATAAATAAATAAAATCTTTTTTTTAAAAAAGGATACAAAGTAAATGTAACTTCATCCCTGCCCTCAAGGTGTTCACAATCTAATGGAGAAAACAGGATTTAAGCCAATCATTTCAAGACTGAGATTGTGCTAAAGAAGAGATAAGAGGGTGACACTATAGACACTTGGACAAGTGCTTGACTCCACCAGGAGATCTTTCAACAGATGAAAATCACCAGGCGGAAGGGCGAGGAAAGCATTAGAAGTGGAGGTAAATGGACTATTTATGGGCCTGAAGCCGGAGAATGACAGTTCAGATGTGTGCTTTCCAAATGATTCTCTCCCCTGTGTTCTCATTCACTGTGGGATGAGTACAAATTGGTTAAAACTTTCCACAAAATATTTTAGCAAATTGTAACAAGAGCCTTAAAACATATTCACATCCTTTCAGTTTGAAATTCCTTATCTAGGAATCAGAGGGGCTGCCAGAAACTTATGTATGAGGAAGCTTATCATGGTTATTTATAACCATGAAGAACTGGAAACAGCCTCCATGTTCAATAATGGGGTAATGGCTAAAGAAGTTATGGAACATCCAAGCCATATGATTTTAGACATTATGTGGGACAAAAAAAAAAAATCACATTTTAAGAGAATATTTCAAAACAAGCAAAAATTATTTCTGAAAACAATGTCAAACAGTTAATAAAGTATCATCCTAATTCGTAATAAGAAAGTTAAAAAGTACTTCTCAATGTTGGTTGTAATTTTCACCCATATCTTACTTTTCTGAAAGTCTTTCTTATTTTATATATACCTGACAACAAAAGGGAGGGAGTTTCTCCTTGTCCTGTGTGAAATCAAAAGAACTGCATTTTGTTTTCTTCCCTCTTAAGAATGTGATCCAGGATTCACAAGTCACTCTCTTAAGTCACATTCTCTTTATGACATCCAGGCTGTTTAGAAAAGGAAGGGAGACTAGGTAAGGAATGGAAGAGAAAGGAAGAATCCAGAAGTTGAACACTGACATGAGCACAGAGAAGAAGGATGATGGGAGTGGGGGTTGTGAGGACCTGAAGAAAGGGTGGAGGTTGTGTGCTGAGAATGAGTTACCAGACTGAAGATTTTAGGGGTGAACATAGACACATATAAAAGTGTTCAACATAAGAAATGTCACAGTGCAGCACAATGTTAAATGTCAAATAAATGGTCCTCTGGATAATTAATGTTACAAAAGTTTGGAGGAGTTTGGTGGAGAGATCCATCCTTCGGTCACGTACACATATCAATGAAGCTATTCCTCTAAAACCTCCCTTTAGCAATCTTTGTAAGAGCGGGTAGTGGTGTAGATTACACTCTCTTGGCCATCCCTTCTAGGGAATTTAGTTACTGAAGAGCTTAAAGAACGTCACTGTGAAAGGATTTTAACTACGAAGTAAGAGGAAAGGTTATACGAAGAATATGATAGAAAACAATTTGAATCTAAAATACTATTTGAGAAAATTCAATCTCTGCACAAAAATTCACTTCATCCTTCAATATCTCATATCCTTTAAAATGTATTCACATAAAATCTGCTTTACAAGAGAGAACCAGCCAGGAATATAGCCCAAGAAATTTACCACTAAATGGGGACACATATGTGTTTCAGTTCTTAGGAAAACTGTGCCTTGCTAACTTTCTCCCTGGATTTCTTGGTTCTCTGCATTGAAAAGCAGGTGGTGATTTCTCTCCTTACCTAATTTTCTTGCTTTTACAGTTTCCAACTGATTGTTAAGCACCTTCCCCATACCACTGCTATTCTAGGTTACATATGTCTACAACAGCATCAAGTGACCTTTAGCTATCACTAGTTAAATGGATCAACACGTTTACCCAACCACATAACTCAGACCCTTCAGGGGTTTTCCAGTCAATTTTAATCTATTTAAACCTGACACTGGCAGATTTCCACTTCCTTTGTTCCTTGTGTAGACTTGGTGTATGTGTGTTGGTCTCTAAAAGGGACAGAGGAGGCAGTTGTTGAAAAATGAGATTGACAGTTTTAACCACACAATTTGGTCTAACAGCTTTGATATGCTAAACTTGCTAGCACCTCCAAGTGTACCTTTCTGATTTTGCATTACAACACCACACTGAATCCCTAAGGAAACGAGGGTTTTTTGTTTGTGTGTGTGTGTGTGTGTGTGTGCGCGCGCGTGTGTGTTTTAATTAAAAAGAAAAGAAAGAAATGCAAACCAGTGAAACCGTTCTTTTACATCATCTCCAGATTGATTCTGCGAACTGCAGGCCTGCACAAATCCCGGTCCACTAGAGACCTTTAAAAAAAGGAGAAGCTGAGAATACAGATCGTGTTCTAAAGAGCGAAAACAGGTGATGTCATAACGCACAGTCCTGTGTGGTCACAGCCAAGGCCGGGTGGGGAGCTGGGGCTCCAGTGAGCACGCAGCTCCGCGCCAGTGGGCGAAGCAAGTTGTCTCCGGGGCCAGGAGGACACCGGTGGGGACCCGGCACCAATCAGGTTCTCGCTCGGCGCCTGCCTTTGTTCTCACTGGGGACCAGGTTTCCGGGCGTCTCGCGTCGGGAACCCGCATTGGACCCGCACGCGCGTTGCTGGCCTCCTCGAGAGACCTGGCTCCCCCTTTCGCCTGTCCCCCCACACTCTGCCAGCCAGAGCTTTCCCCAGTTACATGTGCCCTCTCTCCCTAGAGCGTGGACGCCAAAATCCTGACTCACCATTTTTAGCTTTGGAAGAGGCAAGTCCTGCCCAATAGTTTACAGACGATTTGTTTTCTGAACCTTCCTTCCCGAGCAAAGCTCTATGTTCTCCATGTTTCTGATGAACTGTCTCAGAAAAGGACCGTTGGGTGGGAGGATAAACCTGTCTCTTTGGCCCTTTCGTGCTGGACAAATAAAGGAACTTTCATTGCTGAAAGGACTGCGAGAAGGTGCTTCAGATGGAGGAGGAAACCGCTAAACCAGAGGTTTTGTGTCCCCCCCCCCGCCAACTCGATTAAGGGTGTAAATATATCTCAAACGCCTACCCCCCCACCCCCGCCCAAGCCTCAGGTAATTGGTCTTTTGCAAAACAAGGCTCAAGATAAACGATGCATAAAGTTCTTTGAGATCCCTGGTTGCCAAGTACTACGTGACTGCAGTCTTCTTTACAGCTAAGCTAAGATTCTGGCTGAGAGAAAGCCTAATCACTGCCCTGAGTGTGTGAACGTTTTAGCTACCGCCCCTCTCCCGTCCCCAACCTTTCTCAAGAAAGCAGGAAATATTTAGCTCAGTTTTAGACCCTCTAGCGAAGCTCTAGCTCCCAGTTTTTTTATCTCACTCTCTTAACCATTTTTGCAGGGACCTAGAGAAGGGGGCGTGGCTTGTCTTCGGGGAGGGGCTGGGCTTCCAGGGATAATTTGCATACGACACACCCTCTCCCTCCTATTGGTGGAGCAGCACAAACTGTATTCCCTTCCACCCCACACTACCTAATTAACCCGCCATCTCTCTTCAGTTCCGAGCCTCGGAGATAAACTTAACTTGCCCGGAGATTCAAGGCGTCCTCGGCCTCTGTGATTGGCCGGCGCAGCTCCCAACAGGGCTCTGGTTGCTCATTGGCTGCGGGCTAGCGGCCCAGGGGCGTGGCCGGGGCTGTCCGAATGGCGGGAGGGGGCGGTACCGGAGCGTGGAGGTGGTGAAGGTGGCGGGGAGGCGGGGGCGGGGCCGCACTGAGGCGCTGCGGCGGCGGCGGAGGCGGCGGCAGCGGTGGCGGCTGCTCGTCCTAGCCTGGCGGGGGCGGGGGTCTGGAGGATGGGGGCGGGAGGAACAACGGGCCGGTGAGGAGCAGCCGCCGCCGTCTCCGCCGGCGCTTCGGCAGCCGCCGCGGTGCTCGCCTGGGGCACCGCCGCTCGCTCTCCGGGCCATCGCCTCCCATCCCTACATCCCGCCCGGGGGAGGCTGAGGCTGAAGCGCGGCCGGCGGCAGGGGGACGGTCCGACCCCGCAGCGGCGCGGGCGGCCGCAGTGATACCCGGCCTCGGCCCCACCGTCCGTCTTCGCCCTCGGCGTCCGCAGCCACGATGAACCGGGGCGGCAGCAGCCCGTCGGCCGCCGCCAACTACCTGCTCTGTACCAACTGCCGGAAAGTGCTGCGGAAGGTACGGGCTCGGCCTGGGGTCCAGCCCGAGAGGGCGCTTCCTGCTGGCGGGGCTCGGGCTGCTCGGCCCCGGGGCGCACTGTTGGGGCGAGGCTCAGAGGGATCCCGGGGCACCTTCCCCACGCCGAGACCGAAGGAAGGGGGCGTGGGTTGAGGGTGGAGGTTTGCACTGCTGCTTTTTATCTCCGCCGGGACAGATGCTAGTCCCGAGGGGTTGGGGATTTTTTTTTTTTTCCGATTTTCTTTTTGCTGCCAGTAGTCTGTTTTTCGGATCACCTCCCTGCCTTGCCACCTCCGGCCTGCTCCGCGGGCGGAAGGAGGGAGCGACCGGCTCGATCCTCCTCCCGGTGCCGTGGATGGAGGTCGGTGCGAAATCTGAACAGCCTGGTCTGGTCTTCAGGAACCTGGCTCCCTCTTTGCTGTGTGGCCAACTCTTGGCGGGGGTTGTTTTTGTTTATTCGGTCGCTTCTGCCTTCTTTGCGCGCTCTCGCTTAACACCCCTTTTTACATTCTTTTGACGGCAGTCTTGTGTCTATAGTTCAGTCTTGAAAGGAACTGGGAAAGCAGCTTGAACTTTATGCCCATGGGAAATGCTATTCGACCTTACAGTTCCTCTGGGGTTGGGGGAGGAGGAGACGGAGGTGGACGTGGGTTATCACTCCTCAGCACCCCCCCGCCCCGTGTAGGTCCAGAAAAATCAGACGTACAATCAGCTTATTGCTTCCCCAAGTGACTGATAGAAAGTTTACTCCAGAATTGTTTAGCTTACTTGGCTTAATCACTCCGTTAAGGGGGTGGGGGAGGGGAATGAAAAGATGTCGCTTTAGACCGAGAAAAGCTTTTAATCAGACTTCATCAGCCTCCACTGGGTAATATTATAATCAGTTTATTTTCCTTCAAACTGCATTTTTACATTTCATTAAGTGGAAACAGTAGTTGAGGTGCTTCTGTTTGTCCAGTACAAATGAATTAAAATTGCTGAGCTGTGCAAATGCATCGGGACTGGAAGACTAAGATGAATACGGCACCGTTTTTAGTCAATTTCTCTAACTACAGTGCAATTGGGATTGTTATTTATATATTAAAAATAGAAAGAAAGCATGTAAGTCAGCAAGCTCAAATATTTGCGCTCTTTGTCCAAAAACTGTTTTTCTTCCTCTGTGGGTCAGGCCAAGTGCCAATCAAAGTTGTTTTTCAAGCCTCTTTTCCCTGCAGTAGGGCTGCTGCTTTTTTCCCCCCACTATTTTATTTGAGAGCATGAAGAAAGCAAAGGGATTGCAGATTTGAAGTTAATCGAACAGTTAAATGTGCCTTAAATTGTGTTTAGTGGATATGTTTCTCTTGAAACAGATTTTTATTAAATGTGCATGTTGAGTATGTGCAGTTATTTTTTTCCATAAACTCTGGGATCAAATTACAGTTGATACTTGCTCAGTTCATTGTAGGGCAGCTTGTGAGAAATGTAATGGATCAGAAGTGCAGATCAGCTTAGTTGAATGTTAACTCTTTCACTTCAGGGTCAGATGTCACCCGAACCTAGCTTTTAAAAAAAAATTATTATTATTTCCTGACTTCAAAAGTGGTAAGTTATGTCTTTAACATGAAAAAATTGTTGCTTGAGACACATCTGATTAAACTCAAGCCTGGTTAAAATAACAGCTAGTTGTTTGTTGTTTTTTTAATTGAATAAGGAACAAAAGAACTATATTGACTTTGACTTTTTTTTTTGATGGCTCTGGCAATTTGGTAGGCTAATAAGATGTTTGGAGGTGATACTAGGCTTCAAAATCTAGTTTTTCTTTTAAGAGAACCCTGGCTATGGATCCATCACTGTTTGCTGGCATTCTTTATATATTTCTCTTAGCTTTTAAGAAACTATTTCTATTTACCTAGAAAGAACATCTTCTTTTCTAGTCATTCTTAAAAGAAAGAGGTATATGGAAAATGGAAGTTCACCATTTTCATATTTTGTAATTGCTATATACCTCTGCTAATATTCCAGTTTTTAGTAACTCCAAGGTATTTAATATTGATTCATGCAGTAGCATGAAATAACTTTAGATGGAAATGGGCTTGTTTGAGCCAGTTACGACATGACTTGGCAACATTTGTAGCTTTTAAAGAGTGCTATTCTTAAGTGCTTTTAAAAGATACCAAGTGTTTAGCATTTTAAATTCATCATTCTAAAAATAGCATGTAAGAGTTTATTTCTAATAAAAATGATTTTCTTTTTGATAGAAAGTATATAACTTTAAAATTCATCTGTAACTCAAAATGTGATTCTTTGGATTTATCTTGTGTTTTCCACTTAATAAAGTGTTCAGTAATAACCAAGTGAGTCATAGCAATTTGAATTTTAGTTCAGTTCATAATGAAGAATGAAACTCATGCACACCCAGTGTGAATTACTCTTTGCTGTTACAGTCCTCATTAATGATGGGGAAAGAGTCACCTTTTATGTGGCATGAAGCCTTTTGCTTTAAGTAGCTTAATTTGTTGCAATGTGTTAAATTTGGGGGGGGGGAATCTTCAAAAGGAACTGGATTCACCTTCAAATGAAATAACTCGGTTTAACCCAATGTCTGAAAATTGAGTTATATATTGTATGAGAGTCACATTCATTATTAGAAGTGCCTTTACAATTTTGATTCAGTGTCTTTTAAAATAGAAGGACTTCTTAAAATATTGAATATACCTAATTTGGTATCCTAGGTTAGTAAAAAGAATATATTTCCCATACAGGGAAACAAATGAATGAACAAAAACTATCCTCACATCTATAACTCCTACTAAGTCTGACTTGTTCTGTTATCAATGAAATAATTCAATAAAGTTTTTAATAAAAGAGGAAATGCTTCCACTTACTTTGGAAAAGTTAATGAGTTTTGAAGTAAAATGCATGTTACTTGAAGAAATTCCCATGACAACTAGATAAATTTCAAAGTGGAGTACCAAACTGCATTAAGAAAGGTAGGTAACTATTAGTCCACTTATCTTCTGATGAATGAAAAGGGGCATATTGCAATATTCTTTGAGTATGGAGCAGCCAGCACTACTGAAGTGAATAAAACTGCACTGTAAGTTAGAATATTTAACATTTAAAAATTCTTAATGTGTTTAGGTAGTTCTAGTAGTAATAGATCTTTGTTGGTATTTTATTTTTCCACTTTGTTTATATAATCACTTATTTTGGCAACTTTTTGGTGGGTTTTTAAGTGAAAAGACTGCAAAAATAAAATAGGAAATATTAAATCGAACCATATGAACCTCACTTTTATAATTAAAATTGTCAATTAAGAGCTATTTTATAAGGTTCAACCAATAGGATGTAATTGCCTTGACTGATTTCCATAGCTATAACTCTTAATTAGGTTTCTTATATGTATTTTTTTGATTGTCAAAACCAGTTTTTTACTTATTTTATCTTAAGTGAACTAGGCAGAGATCAAGCAATGAATTTATAATGGTAAACAATTATACAAAGGTTTTCAAACTGCTTTTTAGGGAGCCCTAAGATGCTTCAGTGTTAAATGCATGAGTTGGATTACGTTTTTAAGTACAGTTAAAATTATTAAGTTATAACAAAAGCACAGCTACTTAAAGTTTTTATCAAATTTTAACAAATTATTTTAAAAGTTATCTTTTGTTACAAGATTATTCTTGTGCAGGCCGCGAATTAAAACTTGTTTTGCTACCTTTGTCCATGTATTTGAACTTTTTTGTTAATATGATATTGATAAGAAAGATGGTCATTGATTATGAAGGTTTTGGCCTTCAAAAAAAAAATCCCACAC